ATACCACCATCTCTTCACATCGGTAATAACGTCATAAATGTTTCTCCTAAAGCACGGTTTCTTGGCGTCATTTTAGATACTGATTTAAAATTTCATAAACATGCTGCTTCACTCATTAAAAGATTGCATTTGGAATTAATGTTATCATCAAGACACGTATATATTTTCCAGCTCACGTCATGCGTTTCTTGTATTTTGTCTACATTCACAGTCATATTTCGCATTGTGCATCATCTTGGGTCAACACTTACATCACGCACATTGAACGACTGCAGCGACTGCAAAATCAAGCGGTTAGGCTAATGACTTTTAGACCATTTTATTCTTCCTGTAGCTCATTGTTTCTAACACATAATATACTATCATTAAGACAATTATTTCACCACAGATTTTCCATAGTAGCCTATAGGCTCATCACGCATGATATTTTCATTGCATGTATTGATCATCATCATTTAACTAACAGCAATATTACCAGGTTTTCCCAGAGCAATAGTCTTCTTTTACCAGCCATAAGAACGAACTACGGCAAGTTCACAAGCTTGTTTTCAAGCATGGCAATTTGAAATTCATTGCCTTCGAATTAAAATCATCGCACAACATTAATATTTTCACCTCACGTAGCAAAAAAACGTTTTCTTCAGGAATTAATGGTCTCGACTGTTGGTAGCTTTCAACAGTTCAGTGTTAGTTCTATATTAGCATTTGCTACCCCGCCGCTGTGGTCTAGTGGCTAAGGTACTCGGCTGCTGACCCGCAGGGCGCAGGTTCGAATCCCGGCTGCGGCGGCTGCATTTCCGATGGAGGCGGAAATGTTGTAGGCCCGTGTGCTCAGATTTGGGTGCACGTTAAAGAACCCCAGGTGGTCTAAATTTCCGGAGCCCTCCACTACGGCGTCTCTCATAATCATATAGTGGTTTTGGGACGTTAAACCCCGCATATCAATCAATCAATTATATTAGCATTTGCCTTTCTACAACTTACGCAACTGATGAAAAAAGTAGCTGCATTTGTCATGTACAGCTCTTTCATTTTGCTTTGTTGTAGTTTTATCCCCTGCTGTTGATAATTTTTGTCTAATTGTATTGGTAGTATTATCATCATGTTATGTAATAATTGTATTGTTACTGTTAATTAAGTTCATTAGTCTTCACTCACAAATTTGCACCTTTTGCTGTACTTTTTTGGAATTATCCCATTCATGTCGCCATAGGAGGTCTCCCCGTCAGTTTCTATGAAACTTTGGGACCTCCTCATGTACTACTTCAACCATGTAACCGAATGGGAAATGTGTAATAAACTTGACTTGATATCGCACACGCCGTGCAGAGTGGTGATCCCTAAGACTGGGTAAAGCTTATCTTGGGCAACTCCTAGGGCTCATTATGATTTCACTATCCATTTTTCATGCACGTACGGGCACAACAGGCCCTCTGCTTCAACGTTTAGCTGAAAACCGAAGGCTGGTGGGTGAACAAGTAATGGCACCTTAAACGCATTCACTGCATCACGGGTCACCGGTCGGTCACGACCTGTGCTTCCAGTATTTGGCAGCGAAGTTACGTGCATTTATCTGCTTGCTGCTGCAATAACTTAATAGCACTTCACTTAGAGGTATGATTTTTGTTGCAGTAGAATATAGTCCATGCCCAGAATGCTTGTCTGATAGTAAAGGCCATGACCCGCGCGTGACCAACGATGCACTGAATAAAAATGCTTTGTGCTGTGTGCGGCGTGACCCACCAGTGATCCCCGCGAAAGAGCTCTAGATTTTGTGCCACGGTCAGAAATTTGAAATTGCAACTAATATAGTCTATTCCACTAAATGCGAGGTGGTGCGATTGTTTCTAACAAACCAAGTGGCGACATGTTCCTCCGTTGTATTGCTTGCAAACTTTCCCACAGTTTTCGAAATATGTGCCACTGGACGAAGTGTAGACATTTTTTGTGCTGCTCCGAAACTCTTCACCACTTCTAATGGATGCTCGTGCTTTTTACGGGGGTGCAAGAAAAAGTGCAGCACCGAGGGAAAAAACACCAACTTCTCACAGAAACTGACTTGGTGCATTTTGTGGTGGCAAGTACTTTGTATTTGAACAGACTTGCGTGAAAAAAATGGAAAACGGCTTTTTATCTCTCAAACACTCCAAACACCCGCTGCAGAGGTGGCAGTGCCATCTCGGAGTGAAAGAGGGATAGTCACGTGCCCCACTGTTAGGTCACGAAGCACCTGGGAGATATGCCCAATGGCTACTGCTGTGCCACTCCACACCTAAAACCAGACTAGCTAAAAACATGCCGCAGTGAACGCATTAAAGCACCCCAAACCACCCAGAGTTCGAAATTTAGGCGTGGAGTTGCAGTTGTGCACGAGTCTGCAATGAAAGATTTTATCTTAAGATTTTTTGAAAACGATGTTGTAGTAGCGAAGTCATGTGTTTTATGATCAGAAATAGGCTCTGGCTCATTTCTATTCTTTGCTAACCTGTTTGGGGGGGTCTTTTCTTCTAGAGCTGCTTTGCCTTCTTCGCTTAGTGGCCCTCCCAATGTGTGTCGCACGTCATTGCTGACTCGCTCTTTGAGACAGTGTCCACCTCCTTTACTGCTACTTTGTCAGCTGCGTGCTTCTCAGCTACCCATTGCCTATGTATTTTGTTTGGGCCGCTTATCAGAGCGCTAGGCACGACACTGTTGACATGTTAGTGATTCGGCACCACTTGTGTTACGGCCCACAACAGGGTAGAGTTTCCTGAATGTACACTAGAGGGAACTCTGGCGCTAGTGTCTATGGGAGCTGCAATTCACGACGCTTCAGCGAGCATGGGAATGGTGGGTAGTACACGGATTTGTCTAATCTTTGTACTTCTGGCTTCGTTTGTGTACTCGTGGCTTGGAGCTTTTCACCATCATAATCGTTTAGGCTTACCATTTCAAATCGGGGTCACGAAGTTCGAAAGGGTTCATTCTTTCCTAAAAACCGAAAGGCAGCAATAAATAAAGCTACAAGTGCGATTCGCCGCCCGAAAGTACAAAGACTAGGCAAATTCATGTACTATCTATCATTTCGATGGTTTTTGAACGATCGCAGCGCCAGAGTCTCGTCTAGTTAATTTTAGGAATATCTATGCGTAACGGTTGCCGATGTGCCAGTATGCACACGCGGGCAACACAGTCAAACAGTGCAGTGCAAGGAGGGCAGGCAGACTAACCGGAAGTCATAGTTTCTTGTTTGACCAATCACAGCATTGATTGTCAATAACATCGCAGATGCAACACGTCAACGTGGTGTTCATCGCCGGGAAAGATGGAGAGGCCCAGAGAAGGGATCGTTTCTTGGAATTTGTGGCTTCTAGCGTTGCCACGTGTGGCATCGTCGATTGTGATAAAATTGGGACACTGTGCGCGTGTTTACTTGAAATGTTTGAAAAAAAATACCGGAGGCGAGCCAGGGGCGCTGTGAGGTTACACCCATCATTTTCCTTTCCATTGCTTGCTGCGGCGTCCCCAATATTTGATGAACTATCTTTGCATGCCTTCAGATTTCTGCCTCTAGATGAGTACTGGTCAGATGCAGCTGTTGTATATGTTCCTCTTTAGGAATAATGGCCCCGCCGCGGTGGTCTAGTGGCTAAGGTACTCGGCTGCTGACCCGCAGGTCGCGGGTTCGAATCCCGGCTGCCGCGGCTGCATTTCCGATGGAGGCGGAAATGCTGTAGGCCCGTGTGCTCAGATTTGGGTGCACGTTAAAGAACCCCAGGTCGTCGAAATTTCCGGAGCCCTCCACTACGGCGTCTCTCATAATCATATAGTGTTTTTGGGATGTTAAACCCCACATATCAATCAGTCATCTTTAGGGATAATGGTTAACTACCATTTTTTTATTTGAGAATACTTGCCAAGATTTTCTGCACCCCAATCTTATTCTTGTTATCTCAGTCTTTTTTTCAAACCTGTGCTGACTACCTTCCATAAGTACAACTTCCAGTATCTCTCTACCTATCGCAAAGCATTGTTCTCTTCTAAGGCTCTTGAGCATTACTTTAGTGTTCTGTGTATTAATTTTCATACCTGTCCTTTTGTAATTCATTAATCATTATTTGCACAATGTGAATAGCAGTATAGAGATTGCATTTCGTGGTCTTACATGCTTGTTGGAATTTTATCACTTTTTTTATGAAGGTCTATAGTGGCTGTAGAGCCACTGTAAATTTATTCCACTAGTATATTTATATCAAATTATATGCCAAATCACCAATCATACGTATTTTCATAATCTATGAAGGCAGTTGTATTCCGCACCCTTTTTTATTGATAGTGTGAATATCAGCTGTTGTCAAAGAGCCTGTACAAAAGCCTGCTTGGTAATGTGTAGATAACAGACAGGAAGCTGATCTGCATGTAATTTTCAAAGTCCTTGATGTTGCCCGTCTTATTGTGATGACATTCTTCCAAGGTTCTGGTACCCTCACCGTCAAGGGGCACTTGTTATACAGGATGACCAGCATTTCTCGCACAGTCTGTCCACGGTCTCTCAGCAGATCTGATGTTACCTGATGCTAACCAGCTTCGCAATCCCTCCAAGGCCCCGGTCGTTACCAGCCGAATGTCTGATGGCTGTCAGTGCACATCATTGTGGAACTTTTTTATTATAAAATTTTTAATTTGGTAATGAACTGAGCTCATTTTATTCCTCATCAAAATCTTGTATGTTCAGTTTATTGATATACTTGTAGGATTTTTATTACTAAAAGTCTGACTCAGCCCTCTAGAAATGCCCCTTTAAATGTGCTCGCACACTAATTGAATGAGCTTTGGCAAGATACTCTGCCAAAACTTCGAGCTGTTTGCGAGTGAACTAATCGGGCCACGCAGGTTACTTCGCAAGCTTACTTTTTATATTTTGGGCTTCATAGCCTCCATGTTTTCTTAGCTCTGCCAGCAGAGTTTTTCTCGCTCACTAATATAAGTTTAATCCTTGCTATTTTCTCATTCCTTCGTAGGTGACTACCAAACTGTCGACTACAGGAGGAGAGGTTGGTACTGGCATTTCAGCTTACTTTGTTTTCATGATGGACACTAATTGCTGGGTTGTCTTTATGGCTGCACACTTTCTTTCTTTTTAGGGTATGGCATTGAATGAAAGCATGGAATGGTAGTGCACATGTGATATTGGTTATGCTATCTTTTAAAGGAAACACTTTACAGCACAGTTCCTGTTGCCTGTGATTGGCCATCTTGTTTTTTTCAAAGCAAAAAAATAAAAATCAGATAAAATACAGAGGAAGCTCGTAATTTTTAATTTTACGAGGGCCGGTTCAAATAAAATTGAATTTGAATTAAATAGAGCTTCTTAATTTTGTTACTTAAGTGAGCTCCTTAATTATATTATTGTATGGGTACTGCCTGTGCTGGCGGGAGGCAAGTGCTTGTAGATGTTTTTCATAATGTCTGCTGCTGTCTTCCTTGCTTGTGTCTGCTTCTTGTAAGCTGGAAGTTGACATTTTCTGCCTGTTTGTAAACCATGAAAAGAAAGAAAAGAAATGCAATTTGAAATGAGGGTCATGTTAAGAGGTGTATCAGATACATATAATTTCGGAACGTCAGTTAGCTGAAGGGCATAATAGTGAAAACTAAGTGAATGATTCAACTGAAAGAGCACACTTGGCAGAGTGGATGTGAACCACGCACTTGTTTCCGCGTAGCCTTTGTGATGCTCTGCGTGATAGCATGCTGCCGGGAATCACAGAAGCCATCTGGGGAAAGGTGCGTGGTTGACACTGTGCAGCTGGAGCCGGTTGCAGAGGCATAGCTGTAAATACCCAGTTAACAGTTGGGGTAATTAATGAAAATGACTTGAATGGTATGCACCGAAGCGACAGAAAAAGATTGGGTGGCTCTAAGTGTACGTAGGACTGTGCCTCCCCCCCTCGTGTATTAGGGGGCATTAACTGCATACGATGGTACTTCAGTATAGAACATTTACTGACCTTTACAGCATGAGTGTTGAAGATTGGGCGAGTTGGTTTGTCGTACTTGAACTGGTATAGCGCATTACGGGGAAGAAAAAACGACCGAGCAGACCGACACAAGAGAACAGAGCGCTAAAGGGTAGCGCTCTGTCCTCTTGTGTCGGTCTGCTCGGCCGTTTCTTCTTCCCCGTAATGCGCTATACCAGTTCATTTACAGCATGGCTGTCTTCTCTTAACTGTAGTGTTGTATGGAGTTGATGCATAGTCTTCGTAAACTGTGTCTAAGGCTAGCGTAAAGTCTGCGCCACTTAGCCAAATAAATTCAGCTAAATATCTACTAACCTGAGGGGCACCGAAAGGTGGGGAAAGGATGGAGGGAAGCTGGGAATTTATGTTTTCACCTCTCTTTTGCCTCAGGTAACCAGCACAGTGATGGGTACATGTCTGAGCCAGATTTCACGAGAAATGATGGTTAGTAGACAAGATTCTTTTCAATCATTGTCAGTAAATTCTCAACAGGGATAATTACCATCCACTACGCCAAAATAAGCGGAATGTTTCAAGGTGCATTGGAATTTCATTCTGGTGGGGTTGTCCACTTTTTTGTCGTTCTTCCTGCCTTACTTTTTCCATATTTTCAGAGTGCTACCAAAATGCGATTTCTGAGCTTTTTAAAATCGCACTAAATAGAAACTAAATCATTTTTAAGATGACGATGAGTCCTTTAAATCTTGATATGTGTTGGTTTTGCAGTAATACATAGTTGTTTATTAATGAAGGGTGTAAAGTCAGTTCAAATATGCTGAAACACAAGTGTCACTATGGTGCCACAGGCGTTTTCTATTTTTAGTATTTTGGCCATGCTCACTCCGTAAAGACTGCCATGTCCATTCATTCAAAATAGCCTTTTTTTTTTTTTTTTACTAAATCGTAGCATCACATCATGGTTATCAGAGACGTCAAGCTAGCGGCAGTCTCACCTTTTTGCGCTATCGATTCAGTTCTCATGGCGACTTTATGGCATTCTAGGACTTTCTCTTACAAGAGAAATTGGTTTTCTTTTGGGTTTCCGTAAGGAAGAACTTATGCGGAGGAACTTTGTGCTTAATGTTTCTGGGTGGTGCTTGTTTGACTGCTTTCAACTTACTCTGTGAAGTTGGTGTGAAGTTAAAAAAGTACCTGACCTTCATGAGCACATTCAAACTTTGACCTCTAATTTTTGAAGCACCTTCACTTTTCCAAAGCGGTAGTAAAAGATAAAAGTTATTTTGCACTAAGTATTTGTGCATGTTTCCAAGTTTTCAAGGAGTCTTTGTGTAAACCGTGAAACGTCACTTGCGTAGTTTATGCAGAAGGGAAACAGTTGTTCTTAAACAAAAGGAATGCTATTATTCTTGTGCTCATACGATTTCCACTAAGTTGTAGGAACTGGTCGGGTATCAATGTTGTACTGCAGTTGGGAAGAGCCACTTGACGCCTTTTTAATGTTCTTTCTCCAAGACCGGCCCATGTTTGGTGGAAAGGGAGCCAAGAGGGCCATGAACAGGAGTTATGCGAATAGGTGAGAGCTTTCCCTTGTCATATTTGCTGCCACTGCATGTGTTCATTTTTGATTACATTCAATGTGGGTGAGTCAAAAAAGTACTGTTGCATCTAGCCACTTTTCCTCGGTCTCCAAAACGAAACCAAGGCCTCCACAATAATAGATGCCTGTCTATATAATTTAACTGCTGAAGTGTTTTGTGCCGGTTGAGTTCTCGTCTGTTTATGGAGTACTGTGTTTGTTTAAAGTTGGTCTCTTTCGTTCACAGGACAGGACTATGTTACTGGAAGTGAAACCCAGTAAAAATGAAGTGTGTTCATAGGTTGTCGCTGGCAACCTTGTGGTGTATTGTAACTTTTTATCATATTGCCACGTTCTTTTTCTCAAGTTTTTTTATCGCGAGGCCGTAAATAGACAAGTTGATGGAATACTACGGGATAACGTCATCCAGCCATCCAAGAGTCCATGGGTGTCCCCCGTGGTGTTCGTGAAAAAGGATTGAGCACTACGTTTCTGCGCCGATTATCGCTGCCTGACCAAGATCGCAAAAAGGACATGTATCCTTTCCCACGAATATACGATGCACTGGATCGGCTCCATAACTCGTAGTACCTTTCGTCAATAGACCTCAAGACTGGCTATTGGCAAATAGAAGTAGACGAAAGAGACCGAGAGAAGACGGGGTGTATAACACTAAACGGCCTCTTCGAGTTTAGGGTGATGCCTTCAGTCTTTGCTCGGCGTCTGCCACGTTTCAAAGCGTTATGGATGCAGTACTGGCAGGATTGAAGTGGCAGACTTGCCTTGTGTACTTGGACGTCGTCGTCGTGTTTTCCTCGAGTTTTAATGAGCATCTTCGGCACCTTGAAGCTATGCTTCAAGCCATCAAGACGTCTGGACTCACCTTGAAGCCAGAAAAGTGCAGATTTGTGTAAGAGGAGCTCTTGTTTCTGGGAGCAAGTCTGGAGTCTGTCCCGATCTGCAGAAAACAACCGCCATTGCCGACTTCCTGCTGCCCACTGACAAGAAGGCAATGCGCCGATTTCTGGGACTGTGCGCCTATTACAGGCAGTTTGTCAAAAACTTCGCCCGCATCGTCAATCCACTCACTAGCCTTACCAAGGCTGACGTAGAGTTCAAGTGGGAAACGCCGCAAGAACACACTTTCCAGGAGCTTAAACATCGCCTCCAGACGCCTCCGTTACTTGACCATTTCGACGAATTCGCCGAGACAGAAATACACACTGACGCAAGGAGTGTAGGTCTCGGCGCCGTTCTTGTGCAGAGGGCTGACGGACTTGAAAGGGTTATTAGTTGCGCCAGCCGATCGCTATTCAAAGCAGAAGCCAATTATTCCACAACAGAAAAGGAGTGCATCGTCATCATCTGGGCTACGTTGAAATTTCGCCCCTACCCCTACAGCAGGCCTTTCAAAGTTGTGAGCGACCACCACGCCTTCAGTTGGCTAGCTACCTTTAAGTACCCTTCAGGTCACCTCGCACGATGGAGCCTGAGACTTCAAGAACATGACATTACGTCGTTTACAAGTCCGGCAGGAAACACTCGGACCCAGACTACCTCTCTCGTGCGCGTGTCCACCCACCACCGCCCGACGACCCGGATAAGGACTACTTCTTGGAACACGAGTGTTGAAGATTGGGCGAGTTGGTTCGTCGTACTTGAACTGGTATAGCGCATTACGGGGAAGAAGAAACGGCCGAGCAGACCGACACCAGAGGACAGAGCGCTATCGCTAACGACGCAAGAGGACGAGAGTTATCGGAAACGATAACTGCCGACGACTTCGCTTAACGACATCGAGCCGACCCGGAACTTAGGGCCCTAATAGAATACCTCGAAGGCAGGACCGCCGCAGTTCTGAAAGTATTCTAGTGCGCACTTGCGTCATTCTTCCTGCGAAACGGTCTTCTCAAAAAGAAAAACTTCTCACCACTTCGAGCCAAGTACCTGTTTCTGATGCCTTCAGCTCTAGGACCAGAACTCCTGCAGAGCCTGCACGATGATTTGATGGCAAGGCACCTCGGTGTTTCTCGCACGCTCGCGAGGATACAAGAAAGGTACTACTGGCCACGACTTATCGCCGACGTGACTCGTTATGTGAGGACATGCCAGGACTGCTAGCGACACAAGGCACCGTCTACAAGGCCAGCGGGATTTCTGCAGCCCTTTGAACCACCTCACCGACCGTTCCATCAGATCGGTATGGACCTACTGGGGCTGTTCCCGACGTCGGCTTTCAGAAACAAGTGGATCGTGGTAGCTACAGACTACGTCACCTGCTACGCCGAGACAAAAGCCCTGCCGAAAGGCAGTGCATCTGAGGTAGCAAAGTTCTGCGTCGAAAACATCATCCTACGTCTCGGCGCCCTGAAGGTCCTCATCACCAACAAAGGAACGGCTTTTACTGCTGACCTAACTCAAGCAATCTTGGAATACAGCCAGACAAGCCACCGCCGGACAACAGCGTACCACCCACAGACCAACAGCCTCACTGAGCGGCTAAACAAGACCATCGCCGGCATGCTGGCAATGTACGTTGATGTCAAACACAAGAAGTGGGATGCCATTTTTTTGTACGTGACCTTCGCATACAGCACGGCGGTGCAGGAGACTGTGCAGATATCTCCATACAAATTGGTCTACGGAAGGAGCCCGGCAACGACGCTCAACGTCATGTTACCCGACATCACTGATGAAGAAAATATCGATGTGAGTGAGTACCTTCAGCGTGCCGAAGAAGCCCGTCAACTCGCCTGCCTCCGTATTAAGAACCAACAGACGACTGACAGCCACTATTGCAATCTTCAACGACGCTTCATGGAATACAAGCCCGGTGAAGTTGTTTGGGTGTGGACCCCGATACGCCGACGTGGACTCGGTGAAAAGCTTCTGCAATGGTACTTCGGACCATACAGGGTGGTTCGACGTCTCGGCACACTTGATTACGAGGTGGTCCCCGATGGCATCACGAACTCTCAACGACGCCGATCGCGACCTGAAATCTTCCATGTCGCCCGCCTCGAGTCGTTTCATGTACGTTAACGAACTGAAACAGTGTATTTTGTTGTATTACTGCTGTATTATAGTTTATTGCTTCTACTTGTACTTTCATCTTCTGTTGAAGCATCGGGACAATGCCTTTTTTGAATGGGGGCAATGCCATGTTCCTTTTCTCAAGTTTTGTTATTGCCCTGTTGCACTACGTATTTAGAGCGCGAACAGCGCCTGCAGGCTTCGAGAAGCTTCAGGACTGTAGTAGATCATTTCGATGAGATCACGCCCACTCCTATATAAATTATTCTGGAAGCAACGTCACCACTAGGGATAATGCTAGAACATTCGATAGAAAGTCTGTAAATGCCGACGCGCTTCGCCGCTTGTCAGCTGATCGACGGCCGACACTCTGTTCGCCGCTATCAGTGTCAGTGTGTATCACTTCAATCTTACTTTTCATTTATTGGCCACAAGTTTGGCTCCAATAAAGAGTTTCATTTGGTCATGGAGCCTGCTGCCTTAGTTTACGTCACTACCTCGTGACAATATGCACAGCAACATTTTGAACATATGATGATGAGAAGACAAGGCACCCTCAGCAACTTGATTCAGTTGGAGCCAGGTGTCTAGGCCGCAAGCCTGACTCAACTTAGCGTTTTGCAGTGGAATCGGACACCTGACATGGACATCACCTGGAACCTTTATTAAAGCGCTTTGTGTTCTTGAATAACTGAATGCAATTACTTATAATTAAAGTAATTAGATGTTGCAAACAGGAATATAGTACACTGACTAGCAACGCTTAGTAAGAACAATGGTTCTTCACTAGATCTGCAGCCAAAATTCAAGTTGTAAGGGAATGGTTAAAACATTTTAATGTAGCAATTGTATAACAGTTTCAAAGAATCCCTAAGCTGATGAGATAAGAACATGAAAGCATTTCATATTCTCTTGTTACAAAAGGGGGCTGCAGCAACTTCGTGAAGCCCATGCCGAGTGTTATTCCAATTGCAACATCGGCTATAAAATGCTTGGTTTTCTTATATTTTTCCCAACTCAAGATCATTGTGCTGAATCCTTCAAAGGCTACTATTTTTTTAATGGCCGATTTCTACCTAATGAATTGATTACTTTCTCTGGCCTTTATTTTTTTATTATTCCTACTATTCATAAATCACTTCCCTAATGTCATAGGGTCGTGACGTCGACGAAGAAGCAGACAGTCAGTTGGAGATTAAACTGTTTATTTGGGCGAACCTGTGCCCGGTAAGTGGAAAGTCTGATCACAGTAGCAGACTTGCACTGATAGCGGCAAACTGAGCGTCGGCTGTCAATGATATGATGAGCGGTAAAGTGTGTCGGCATTTATACACTTGCCATCTAATATTCTAGTGTTATCTCTAGCGGCGACATAGGTTCCACAATAATCTGTCATGTTCACAAAGTGGGCGCAACCTTAACAAAATAACCTTATGCCATCCCGAAGCTTCCCGAACGGTGCACTGTAGGCGTGGCTTGCGCTTAGAATTACTGACGGTGAAATGGCGCAATAACAAAACTTGAGGACGGAACGTGGCATTACCCCCCCTCTGAAAAAGGCATCGTCTGGTTGCTTAAGACAAAATACGAGAGAAAGACGCATGCAACCAAAAACAACAATAAAGAAGTACAACGAATAGGATAAAGCACAATTATACAGAAACAACAAATAATACAATCATTGTGTTCCTTAACACACATGAAACGGCTTGAGGCGCACGACATGGGCGGCTTTAGGTCGTTCATGATGTTGTCAGGGACAACCTTGTAGTCGAGTGCGCCGAGACGTTGAACTACCCTGTATGGTCCGAAGTACCATCGCAGAAGTTTTTTGCTCAGTCCTCGTCAGCGTATCGACGTCCATACCCAAACGCGGTCATCGGGCTGGTAGTCTACGTAGCTTCGTCAAAGATTGTAATGGCGGCTGTCTGACATCTGCTGATTTTTGATGCGCAGGCGGGTGA